TTTGAGTGCCTTGCTCAGATTGCTGGCCCTCTTGAACTGAATGGTGATCCATGGTGCTGGCCTGCTGTCTGCCAGCTTGCTGAAGTGGTGGTCAATCATGTCACTGCACTTGTGCCTGAAGAGCTTGACTACACCCTGCCTTGAGGTGGTTTCAGTGATGCCTGAGACATAGGGCTGAGAGATTCTTGTAGGTGGGGGCAGTGGAGCACAGGGGGACAATAATAAGCAGGTGCATTGTACAAGGCATGGGACAGGGGCCTTGGGTGGATGGGTAATGGCCATCCATGGCTGGGGGGTAATAGATACATGGGCAGAAATCATTGGAAGGTATGTGGACCTCAGTGAGTGGGTGGAGGCTGCTTGTAGCCTGAATCACAAGTAGGGGGACAGTACCCTGAATAATCTTTGTAACTAGCCTCTCTTGCATCCTCCTCCACCTTGGAGCACTATGCCTGAAGCTAAAATTCCACTCCATTCCACACTGATAAAATCACTTTTAACTCCACAAATTCCAAGTTTTTATGAAATCATTTTCATCTCAAGTCCCTCAATATCACTTATAAGCAGCGGTCTAGCATGTCAAAATCACACATGCAGATCCAAATCTTCAAAACAGTTTTGAAGATTTGGATCTGCCCTGTAAATCAAAAATGTCAAATCTCACATGATTTTAGCACAACATAAATTCCACAATCATTTGTGACCTCTCATTTCAAATGACCACAAGTTATTTGTGCAATGCATCACCATTCCTGGATGGCAGGTGAATGTCAAAAATAAATTAACATGGTGAAAGGAAAGTTGATTTGGCAGTAGAACATGAGTATACATGATGCTGCCCAGGCCTTAGCATGGAGAGTGGGATCAGCAACTTCAATGTGCCAGTACTGTGCAATCCACCATGAAACACCAAACACCTTTCTTGGCAAGGATGCATGTGCACAGTGATTGCTGGGCGGCCACCAATGATGGGTACTCGCACATTGCAGAATTGCTCAGGGCCTTGTTCACAACCTTGGAGCAGAAGAGCTGGCATGTCAGCCCACTGATGTTGTCAGTGCTTGCACAGTAGTTGTTGAGACTCCACAAACACCACAAGTTGCTGCATTCGTAGAAGTTGTGCACATTGAGAGAGGTGCAGCATCTGAACTGGTTCTTGGCTGGTGGCTGAACGCACAGGCAGCTCCCATCAGCATCACTGGCGCACCATTGTGAGCCGACCTCCACTTGGTTGGTGCCCTCAACCACCGCGATGAGGTCGCGTCAATTGGCCGCCACTTGGAGCCGAGGGAACGCTTTGGCGAACTCGGCGTCTTCCAATGCCGTCTCAACCAGTGCGGCGCCCCGATCGCCACGCCAGGCAAAATCGCGGCCATCCACGAAGATTTTGGTCTTTGTTTGGTCACCGCGTTTGTTTTATTTGTAACTGCTCAAGCGATGAAAAGAACGCGGAGACAGACGGGTCGGAGGAAGGGAAAAGATGAAGGCCTTGCCATAGGCGCGCCAGCCCAGGAGGAGGAGGGCTGTCCCACCACCACCACCACCTGCTGGACACCAGAGGTGCCACCCAACCCTCTCACCCAGCACTACGCCACCCGCAACCCGCAATACGCGCAGCCGGTGTTGTCTGTTGTAGTTCCGTTGTGGTTTACCCCAGGTACCCACTTCCAAGCCCCACACTTCCTCATTACCATTTTATTTTAGTTTTATTATATGTGGTGTTTTTTTATTCAGAGCACATTGTGGCGCGGGAGTTCGGATTCGACCACCGTAACAGCCTCACGTGTTTCGGAGGCGTGCGGCCATGGCTTCGCAAGAACGAAGAGTGGCCGCGCTGTGGCCGCTGCTCGCATCACCTCCAGTTCTTCTTCCAGATCGATTTCCGCCTCCTTCCCGCGCAGGCGGCCCGCCAGTACGCCGGTGGTGGTACGCCAATTTAGAAAGTGCAAGGTTTTGTGTTATCATTTATTAATCTTGATTGGTTGATTTTATTTGACTTTTTATTTTGATTGGCGAAAGCAGAAAGGAACAGGCTGCTGCAGATGTTCATGTGCCCTCAGCAGGGCGAGGATTGCCGAGTGTGGGAAGCCTTTGACAAGTCTGTGCTCCTCCGCTTCGTGCCCCTCCCGCCGGCCGGCGGCCCCAGCCTCCTCACGCTCGCGTCGCGCACCCTAGCCAATTCCCTCCCATCCTGCCCCGGTACACGCCACACCCTACCACCCCTCACGTCTGCCACTGCTGACGCACACGCACACGCACACGCACACGCACACACGCACACGCACACGCACGACGCACACGCTCACACGCACACAGACCAGGAGACGGTGATGGACACGCTGAGGCTGATCGGTCTGGACACACTCGTCTCGACCAGCGCTGACATAGGCCCCAACGAAGACACGAGCGCCCAGCTGGCCAAGTGCCCGCGGCTCGAGGCGGATGGCACCTGCTCGTTCGATTTCGCTCTGCCGTTTCACAGGCCTGTCCGGTGGCGAGCGCGCCAGGACTGGCCGAGCGAGGAGCAACGCGCCGACGGCCGTCGTGTGACCAAACATGACAGCGGCACCTATGCGGGGACCAAGCTGGGCGGCTGGCCCCACCGGGGGTCAAGTCACACCACTGCAGTGGTGAAGTACCCCGCCTGCAGGGAGTGTGGCAGCGACATGACGAACCTGGTGTTCCACATCAGCGAAGATGACGTGCTGCCCTATGACTGGGGCGACTCCGCCCCGCACATCGTGCTGCAGTGTCCCACTCACTATGCAGAGATGGCGTTCCAGTTCTTGTGCTAAGAAGATGATGAGACAAGTTGAATTCTTCTTGAATTTTACCCTACAGGTTGTTCACCTGGCTTGAGAAACCCACACATCTGAAGATAACAGTGCCTCACTCTGTTGCCTAATTTCACCTCTCAGCCACACGTCAGTTGAGATAAAACCAACAGCCATGCAGAATGCACCACCCAGCTTCTCGTTTTAGAAGCAAAAGCAGTTGGAGGCTCAAGATCACACTTTTCCAGCTTGAAGGCCGACTTGCTCAGGGCACTGGGCAGGGGCTCTCTCTCGGGCGAAGTTGGAGATTGAGGGGAAGATAAAGATGAATGGGTGTGAATGGAAATGGGGCCTGATCGGGCAAAAGCTGCCAGTGAATGTTGGATACGGTCGATCAGGTACGGGGAATGGCCCAGGCAAGGGGATGTGGTGGGCGAAGAGTGTGGTGGTTGATGGATAAGGCCATACTGCGCAGAAAGCACCGCTTCCCATCCGAACAGCGAAGTTAAGCTGCGCCAGGCGGTGTTAGTACTGGGGTGGGCGACCACCCGGGAATCCACTGTGCCCTATCCTTTTGGCATTTGCAGACACACACCCCTCTCATCCGCCTCTCGACCTGTCAAGTTTCGATCTTTTTAGATTCGAATGGGCAAACAACAACAACCGGGCAGGAGAACAGACGCGAAAATTTTTGTTGACTCCTTGACTCCTCTCAAGAAGGGATCCCCACCATAACGGCAGTGCCGAACATGCAGCCGTCCTAGCTCAGTCGGTAGAGCGCAAGACTCTTAATCTTGTGGTCGTGGGTTCGAGCCCCACGGTCGGCTATCTCTTTTTCTTAATTGTTAACGATGTTTGTAGATCACCCAAGTCATGCATAACGAGAATGGTGCGAGTGATTGCAAGGCCGTTCAGTTGAGGAGGCTGTAAATGTCCGATCGGTCGGGTGGTGACCTCTTCGCTGAGGAAGACGAAGCCGAAGCGGTGGCCACGGTTCGTCGCTTCCCACCGTCGCCGGTGCGCTGGGCCGTGTTCGGCCTTCGCCTCCGCCCCACTTCATTGCCGTCCGCCTCCTCTTCCTCCTCATCCTCCTCAGTCTCGGCCTCGGCGCATGCCAGCAGCGACGCCAGGCCCGACACGGCCATGGTGGCGGTGGTGGTGGTCATCGTCGTTGAGGGCGCGTTGGGCTGGAGCGGGAAGGCGGCGACCATCGAGGGCGCCAGTCGCTGGAGGTCGTGGTGCGCGTGGTACGGCGACGGCAGCGGCGGCGGCAGTGGCAGCGGCGGCGGCTGGCGGAGCGTCTGGCGCAGGTGGCGGTCGTACAGACCCACTGAATCGCAGGCCTCCGACAACCACGACGATGACGACGACGAGGCTGTGGGGGCCGGCGGCGGCGATGTGAGCCCCGGCGAGTGGTAGTTGAACCGCCGCTCCTCCTCGCTGTCGGTCTCCTGCACGACCGTGTGCGCCGTCTCCCCGCACCGCTTGCGGCCTGACGACGCCGGCGCAGACGACGACGACGACGACGTGGCGACCATGGGTGCGGCCTTCGACTTCTTTGAAGCGGCCCGGGCGCGCTTGGTCGACTTCCCTCGGGCGCCGCGCTTGGTGCTTGCGGCGGCCTCGGGCGCGGCCCGCTTGGCTCCCGACCTGGCGGTGAGTCGCCGGCGCACCTTGTCGGTGGCCGACGGCGGGGAGCCGACGCAGTTGTCGGGGTAGTCCTGCTGCTGCTGCTGGCGGTGGTGCTGATCGTGTTCGTACTCGCGGCCGATGGCGCTCAGCTTGAAGCTGACCCGGTCGGTCGTCTTGCACTGGTTGTAGCCCAGCCACACTGACCAAGCGTCGACGAGAAGTCTGAAGTCAGCAAAACGCGTGTGTGCGTGTGCGTGTGCGGTGCGTGCGGTGCGTGTCGTGCGAGTACCTTGGGTGGGAGAGAGATAGGGCTCGCGGAGGAGGAAGAGGCAGAGTTGGATGCTGTTGACGGTGTCGTTGAGCTTGGCCCACCCCTCGGGCTCCAGCGCGCTCCCCTTGCCCTCCACAGCCGCTTCCGCCACCTCCTCGGCGAACAGTCGCACCTGAGGAATGATCACGCGTCAACCTCTTCTTTATTAATTAATTTACTTTTTTTATGTTTCTATATATTATTATTTATTGCTTGATCATTTATTATTTATTATTTATATTTCTCGATTTGGTGGAGTAAGTCGACAAATTATAAGATCACGAGAAAAAAATGATAACTGTAGAGCTGGCAGGCCACGTACGTTTTCCCAGAGGTTGCGTCGCAGGTTGTCGTTGGTGGCGGCCACGGCCGCCTGGTGCTGTGGGTCGGTGGCGCCCATGACCTTGGGCGGGAGCACTGTGAAGCCCGTCACCTTTCCTCCACCGCCACCTCCACCAAACAGTGTCTGTGGTTGGTGAAGCGGTGGCTGCTCAACGTTCATCATCGTCGTTGTCATCTTCCTTTTCGTGGTGTTGTGCTTCTTGTTCTGCTTCTTCTTGGTTCGTGTTGGCGGCGGTTGATGGCTGAGAGATCTTGGCAATCGAATCGATTGTGTTGCGCTGAGCGTCAAAGAAGAAGGAGAAGGGTGATGAGGGAAGTTGGAGTCGATAGATACCCCCAGTACGGCCACAGCACGTGCACTGAACATGTCGAGTTATGGCAGGACCAATGGCGGTGGGTGCTGATGTCACATGTAGCGCTGGATGATGTGGGGGCATGGCGCCGTGGCCATGACGTATGCAGAGACCAATGGCCGTCACACCGGCGCGATCAGAAGTGATGTCAGCAAGGCCATCGCTGACGTCACCGCCTCAGGAGAATTTGGCTAACTATGGTTTGAACATGAACATGTAGAGGCAATGTGTCAGGGTATGGCAGAGAACAGATCCAGACATGTTACTGGTTTTGGGATGGTGGGTAGGTGTACCAATTAGTACCTGGCTTTCCTGGGCTGTGTGGCTGAGAATGAAGAAGAGGTGAAGAAAGGACAAAGATGGCGGGGTTGAACTTTACATTTGCATGATGGGATGATGACGGGTGAACAAGCAAAAATGGGTGGGCAGCTCTTGATAGAGAACAGAGTGAAGAAGAGGGAAGCGGGTGGGTGAGTGGTTGGTAGGGTACACAAGATATAGTCGGTCGACCGGCCTTGACTTCGTCTTCGTCGTCTGTAGATTGTGCGCCAATCTTCTCCTTCTTTCGTCCGCTCACGAGCAACAACAATCGACGAAAACGAAGACGAAGACGACGGAGGCAGCGCTTAGAAGTTGAAGGTGTCGAGGGCCTCGGAGAGCCAGATGTCCTTGCAGGCGTCGAACACCATCTGGATGTTGGACGTGTCGGTCGCCGTCGTCAAGTGGATGTACACTTGCCTGTGTTGCAAGCAATGAAAGAGAAGACGGAGAGAGAGAGAGAGAGAGAGCCGTGAGAAGGGCGTGGGGGCGATGATCACAAGAGGAACCTCCCAATCGAAACGTGGGCGGGGACCAGGAATGTGTGCGGTATGCGCGCGCGTGCGATCGCACACATGGTGCGGTCGGACGTGGAGTGCAGCAGCGCTGGGCCGGGTGGGCTTTCTGTGTTCGTTACCTGTTGGGCGAGTGATTCCGCGAGTCGTACTGCTCCTGGACCCACTTCTTGGCCTTCGCCAGGTCCGAGCCTCCCTTGTACTCGCTGAAGTAGTCGCCTACACACCAACCCCAAGTCAGTGCGTGCCGTGTCGTCGTGCGTGTCGTGCTTGTGGTGCGTGTCTGACATACCGAGATTGCTGTGCTCGAGTTTCTTTTCGAAGATGTCGACCTTGTTGAGGAACAGGATGATGGGCTTCCGGTTGAACCAGTCGTTATTGATGGTGTCCTCGAAGAGCTTCAGCGACTCGACCATGCGGTTGGTCTCGTTGTCCTCCTCGAGCACCTGGTCGTACTCGGACAGGGCGGCGACGAAGATGATGGCCGTGACGTCCTCGAAGCAGTGAATCCACTTGCGGCGCTCGTTCCTCTGACCACCCACATCCACCATCCTGCAGCCAACACATGCCGTCAGTGTGTGTCGTGCGGTCGTGCGCGTGCGTGTCGTGCGGCGCCGCGTTTGTGGGTACATACGTGAAGTTGAGGTTGTTATGCGAGAAGTGGGTCTCGGCGATGCCCGTCGTGCGCTTGCGGATGTGCAGGATGTCCACGTCGGTGATCTGGTAGCTCGGCAGGTTCTTGTAATTCTCGATGTTCGAGAAGAAACTGTGTGTGTACAGCACGCACCGCACACACCGCACGACACACGGGGTCAGACTATGCGGAGGAGGTGACGCGGAGTGCGAGACGAGCGTACTAGTAGGTGGAGTCGCTCAGCTGGAACTCGTTGGAACGCTTGAAGGCGGCGGCGATGCCCTCGTCGGCCCACAGAAGCCTGAGCGCGTCGTAGAGGTCCTCGGACCACTCGATGTCTTCATCATCTTCCTCGAAGGACAAGAGCAGCTGCGCCTCCTTCTTCAACGAGTCCGAGATGGGGATACCTGCTCGCGTAGATAGCAATTTGCGTAATGCGGCGATTAATGATCAATATTGATCACAATTTTGCGTAGAGACTCGTAAAATTGATCGATCAAGAAGATTTGGGCGTTTACATCAACTGCGAACAAGCCTGATTGAGATGGAAGTCTCAATTGGTTCGCTAATGAAAAGGAAATGAGGAGAAAACGAATGTGGAAACACGCGGAGGGACCGGTACCAAGTTTGCGAGCGCCAAGGAGGAGGGCACGCATGTTGTTCACCATGTTGGTGGCTACTTGCTGCTTGTACTCGATCAACTCGCTCTCGCCGAAGCCATTGAGGTAGAGGATGTGCATCTGTTTGGCCACGGTCGATTTGCCCGACGCGCCGGCTCCGAGCAGGAGCAACTTCACCTCCTTGGTGGCCTTCTTCTTGGCCTGGGCAAGCTCCTTGTCGATCGCCCGCGACTGCTCGGCCGCCCTCTTGTCATCCCCACTCATGTTACTGCATCCAGCCCCCATGTTCGATTTCTACTTGCCGAAAGATTCTTTTCGATTAGCAGTTCGAAGTAGCTCCTCCCTCTTCAACCTTCTCTTACGACCGCGATGATTGATCTATGAATCCCGTTGGTGCGGCTCTGCCTCCCACCCAATCTCCAGTTGTGGCGTTCGCAACCGAACCTTCCCGTCAATTAATTAAAAAATATCGTCGTCCTCACATACCCCAAATTCCCAGCCAGCAAAAAAGGTACGGGTGACCTTTCACACGACAAACGGGCCTCAACCTGGCAACGTCAGTATCTCAAAGAAGAAGAAGAAGAAATAGAAGAACATCTTGGCCGCCGACGCCACCACCAGAGAGAGAGATATGAGCTCCGTATCGACGCCTCCGCCCGTAAAACTCACATGGTCCGGGTCGGCCACCATCAAGCCTGCGGTGAAGCACTTCAACATGCCCTCTTTCAACGGTGTCACCCCCTCCGGCCCGCCCAATCTCACCATCGCCAGCCCCACCCGCGCCTTCAACCTCAACCGCTCGCCCCGCTCCCCGAAAATACTCATCTCCAGCCCCGCTACGAGCCCGACCACAAGCCGCCCAGCTACGCCCACATCCCTGTCCTTCGCGCCCATAGCCGAGAACAGCCCGCGCCGCACGATCGAGATCGAGGCCGGCGTCGAGAGCAGCGTGGTTGTACGCGAGGAAGTGGATCGCGTGGAGCGGCACAAGGAGGAGGAGGAGGCGCGCGCCTGCGAGCTGCGCGAGCGGCTAAGGCGCGAGCAGGAGACCAGCGACGCCCTTGCGGCCATCGAATGCCTCCTTCCGGGCCTCGAGAGCGCCCCCGTCATGGCTCGTGAGCCCCCCGCGTCTACCACGCTCTACTCAGCGCCGGCAGCTCCGACCTCTGCGGCGGCGCCCGTGCGCCCCAAGGCCGACGATGCGCTACTGCGGCAGCAGCGCGAACTCGAGGCCCAGCGCGAGCAGCTGAGGCGCGAGCAGGCCGAGTGGGAGGAGATGAAGCGGGCGCAACAGGCCAAGAACCAACGAGCCCGGGAGCTGGACCACCACCGCGAGCAGTTGCAGCGCGAGCAACAGGAGCGCGAGCAGCTCCAGCGCGAGTTGGAGGCCCAGAAGGCGCAGCTCCAGCGCGAGAAGGAGCAGTGGGAGCGACAGAAGCGGGAGATGCAGGAGAGAGAGGAGGCGGAGCTGAGGGAGAAGGAGGCCAAGGAGCGGGAGCTGAAGGAGCAGCTGAGGCGGGAGAAGGAGCAGTTGGAGAAGGAGCACCAGCAGCTCAAGCTGATGAAGGAGAAGGAAATGATTCAAGAAAAGAGAAAAGAAGAAGAAAAGGAGACCACCAAGGAGCAGCAGGTGAGGAAGGAGCAGGAGCTTAAGGAGAAGCTGCAGAAGGAGAAGGAGCAAATCGAAAAGGAACACAAGCAGATGATGGAGAGGAGAGAGAATGAGCAGAAGAGAGCCCAAGAGTTGAAGGAGACACAGCTCAGGGAACAGCAACTGAAGGAGAAGAAGGCGCTTCAACTACAACAGCAGCAGCAGCAACATCAGGAGAAGCAGAACAGCCAGAACGTGGGCCACGACGACGAGAATGTGAAGAATGAGGACCTGAGCCGGGAGGCCCTCATCCAGAGGTTCATCAGGGTCATGGAGGGCATCAAGGCCACGACGGCTGGCGGCGACCTGACCTACCAGGGCGAGACGGCGGTCAAGGCGGTCATGCTCGCCCGCGACATCAGCCTGCGCGTCGACAAGCACCTCGATGACCAGGCGGCCGCCATGCCGGCCGACCTCGACGACGACACCTTTTCGTCCCTGTCCACCTCCATGGATGATATCCGCGACGAGCTCCTCTTCGTCGCTACTACCACTGCTCGCTTCATCGCCGGCTGGAGGGTGCGTGTGTCGTGTGTCGTGTGTCGTGTGTGTCGTGTGTGTCGTGTGTGTCGCGTGTCGTGCGATGATGTAACGATGCGACGTTCTACTTACCTACAGGACGGGAAGCACGATCAGGCCGCGATCCAAACGTCGGTGGATGCCATGGCTGCGAAGGCCCTCGCGCTGCTCTCCCGCCTCTCTACCCTCGCCCACGTCCTCTCTCGCTGCTGAGCCCCACCCACTTATCCTTTTTTAATAGATGTAAGAAATAAATAATAGCTAATAAATGAATAAAATAAGTTTCTTTATTTCTTTGATGTCGGTGAAGGGAAGTGGAAGATGGGCATGCGGGGGCCACGCTACTTGTCCCTGGCCTGCTTCTTGAGGTGCTCGGCCAGCTGCTTGTTGAAGTCCCTCCGCACAAACAACACCACCGTTTGCGTAGCTGCACCACGACCGCACACGCGCACACGCACACACGCACACACGTTGGAGCAAAGTCGAGGAAAAGGCAAAGAGTGATGAAGAGAGGAGAGGTACGGATGAGAGTTGAGTCGACGAGGGGTCGGTTCTGTCTTCGCTGCTGTCTTCGCAGCTCTCGCTCCTTGGCGGCGATGACCTCGTTCTGCTTCCGCCGCTCCTCCTCGCTCTTCGTCAGACCCGCCAGCACGCTCGTGATCGTACTCCGACTCGTCGTGCTTCGCCCCAACTGCGCCGCATTTCACCGCCAAGTGTTTGTTTGTCAGCACCGCACGCACACGACACGACACGACCGCACGACACGCACAATACGGCACACGTACGCAAAAGTCGTTGTGGAGGACGAGTTTCTCCCACTCGCGGACTCGCGGCTTCTTGCCCCTCTGGCCCTTCTTGGGCCGCTCGTCTCCCTCGCCCTCCTCCTCCTCCTTCTTGACGCCAGCGCCCTCGTCGTTGTTAAGGTGGTTGCTGCTGTCATCCTGCTCCGCTCCTTCCTCTCCCTCCTCCTCCTCCTTGTCTCCGCCTTCTTCGTTCTTCGTCTCCTTCTCTTCTTCCTCCTCCTCCTTTCGGCCGTCTTCGCTTTCGTTTTCTTCGACGCCGTCGCGGCTGCTGGCCGGCAGCAGCTCGTCTCCCGCCTTCGCAGCGCCGCCGACCTCCATCGTCGTCGTTCCGTTCTGGGCCGGCGGCTCCGCGTTGTTGGCGTCGGACTCGGCGGCGGGCTCTGGCGAGCTGGGCCTCGCCCGCTTCGCCGCCCGCTCCTCGCTATCGACCTCGCCGGCTGATGCCAGCGATGGTGATGGCGATGGCGAAGAGGACGTAGTAGTAGAAGTGGAAGTAGAAGTAGCAGTGGTTGATGCGGCTGAGGCGTTAGAGGCGGCGGCAAAGGCCTCGTACTTGCGGCGGAACTTGGGCGGCAGGGCAGCGGGAGGCAGAGGCGTTGATGAGGACTTGGCGGGGGATATGGATGCCTCCCCTAAATTGATGAAAGAGGCATCAGAAATCTGGATCGAACAAATTGCCAAGGCTCGATCGATCGCGAAAGGAATGGAATGGGAATGCTAATTGATCGCTGATGTTCAATTCTGAATTAAGACAAAATTGAAAAGGCGCAGCGATGGTGATCTTGTTCGTACCCGTGCTCAGCGCAGGCGATGTAGCGCCCTGCATTGTGACGATGTCTAGGCCCCCTTCAGCTTAGATCTGTTCTGCTCTTTTCGGACAAGATGGAGATTTCGAGTTCGCGCCCAATTCGACAAATCTGTTATTATTGATAATTTAGTATTTATAATTATTTTTGATTTTGATTTTTAAAGATAAAAAAACACGAAAAAGACGAGCCGGAGTGGGGGAGTTGGCGCGCAAGAACACCCCCCCCCCCTTTGCTGTTGGCAGGTGGCTTATGATGGTTGCACGACCAAGTCTTGGTAGGCGGAGTGTGATTGGTGGTGCTCATTGGTTGGGTGCGCAATAGAAAAACTGCGCCTCTGCATCCCGCACAATCACGCCTGCACCACTTCAACGCACAAAAGATGAAGGTGGGCCTATCCGCTGCGGTGGCGGTTGCGCTCCTCGTCAGCCTAGTCGCCGCTGGAGCCCTCGACGCCTCGGCCCCCATTCCCGGCTTCCGCCCGCCCGCGGTACCGCTCGTCTTGATGGACCCCTACATGAACGTGTGGCTCCGCGGCACCAACCTCACCGACACCTGGGCCACGTATGCAGCCCTCTTCCCTCTTCGTTCTTTGTCGCCCTCGCCTTCGCTTTCGTTCTTTCCCAAGTGGAATGAATAAGTGTAATGACAACATTTATTTGTGCAGGTACTGGGACGGCACTGTGAAGGCTCTTGTTGGTGTACGCCAAGAGCGCAGAGCCCTTCTTTTCGTTTCTCTGTTATTCGTTACTACTTTGTTATTATTATTTCTATTTTTCTCATTGGACACCTCGCATACTGGGGAACCGATGCCTCGCAGCTGGTCCGCATCGACGGCACGGCCTACCGCTTCATGGGTCCCGAGGGCGAAGCCGGCGGCAACCTGCCTCAGCCCATCCAGCAGCTCTCCAGCACCGTACGCCCCCTCCACGCGCGCCTCGCAATGAAATTCGCAAGTGGTCACCCTGTGGATCGTGTGGTTGTTGTTTGCAGGTCTATCCGACCCAGAGCGTGTTCACGTTCGGCGCGAAGGGCGTGGAGCTCACGGTGACCTTCACCACGCCTCTGCTCACTGACGATATCGAGGTCATGTCTCGGCCCGTGACCTACCTGACATTCTCGGTACGCGCGTGTGTCGTGCGGTGGTCACATTGCGTGCGTGTGCGGTGGTGCGTGTGCATGTGCGTGGTGTCGGTCCGCTCACCAATTTTTTTAGGTCCGCTCAACGGATCACGCGTCGCACCGCGTCGAGCTTTACTACGACAACACGGCCGAGTGGTGCGTCAACACCGTCGACCAGTTCGTCGAGTGGAAGCGCTTCTCCGGTGCGCCCAACACTCCTCCTGCGCTCAGCTTGGCGTGCCAGCGTGCGGCTCGGGCAGTGCAGCAGCGCTCACACTTCGTCCTTTCCGCCTCTGCTCAGATTCGAGAACGCTCGAGGTAATGCGCATCGGCACCTCCGCCCAGCCCGTCCTGCAGCGCGTACCCACCTTCACTGAGTTCTCCATTCTTAAGAATCTACGCCCATCACTCATTGCGTGTCGTTGGTCGTGTCGTGTGTGTCGTGTGTGTCGTGTGTGTCGTGTGTGTCGTGTGTCGTTGGTCGTGTGTCGTTGGTCGTGTGTCGTGTCGGTACTAGTCTGGAGATGGCGTGGGTATCGACTGGGGCTACGTCTACGTCGCCACCGAGAAGAACGACCCCAAGCTCCAGACCGTGATCTCCGGCGGGCTCGAGTCCCGCAACCAATTCGTCAGCTCCGGGTCAGTTGGAACTTCCTTCACACGACACGACCGCACGTCCGACACGCACACATGACACGACATGACACAACCGCACACGCACACTCGCGCATGAGCTTTTACCGAGCACGTCTCTCTGACGCTCTGTTTGGTTGTTTCGTTCTCGCGAGCAGGGCTCTGCCGCCTAAGGACGACACCCGCATGCCGCGCGCGGCCAGCGACGATTGGCCGGTGATGGCCGTCCGATGGTCGCTCACCACTGGTCCCTCCGGCGAGCCCGTGAGCCGGTACCTCATGCTGGCCTACGACGACCGCTTCTCCATCAAGTGGTTCGGCACCCCGTTCCCGCCCTACTGGAACCGCAACATGCGCCCCGACGCCGGTACATCTTCATATATGTGCTCTATGTGCGCACATATGTTTACATACGTATATGTACGGCTGCTGACTGTCTCTATATGTGTTTGTGTGTCGACAGTTGAGATGCTGGAGACTGCTGCTCATGACTACACCAAGCTCATCGTTCGCTGCACCACGTTCGATCGCTCGCTTGTCAACGTGCGTCACAGCCCACACGACACGCACGCACACACACACGACACACGCGCATGACGCACGCTGTGCAGGAGCTGGAGCAGGCGGGAGGCCAGAAGTACGCCACGATCGCCGCGCTGGCCTACCGCCAGTGCGCCGGCGGCACCAAGCTGGTGTGGAACACCAAGGAGAACAAGCTGTGGTACTTCATGAAGGAGATCTCGTCCGACGGCGATCTGTCGACGGTCGACGTCATCTACCCGGCCTCGCCGTTCTTCCTCCACTTCAACCCGGAGCTCCTGCGGCTCCTTCTCGTGCCGCTGCTCGAGTACGCCAACAACGAGACCTCGGTCCTCTACAATTTCCCATGGGCGCCTCACCACCTCGTACGTTCACCGCACACACGCGACCACACACGACTACACACGACACACACGACACACACACGATACACCGCTGAACGCACGTGTGCAGGGCGAGTACCCGATTGGTTACATTCTGCCGAAGGACCAGGAAAACATGTGCGTGTGTCGACACCCAGCCAATACGGAATGGAACAGGCAGGGCGGGTGCTTGCTGACCGGTGTGTTGGGTGGTGTGATGCGCAGGCCGGTCGAGGAGACGGGCAACCTGTTCATGATGATCCTCGGAATCGTTCAGCGCCAGAAGAACGACCTGACCTGGCTGTTCCCTCGCTACTCGGTTCGTTCGCATCTCGTGCGCATCTCTCACATGCTCGCGCGAGTCTCATCTCCTGTCGTGTCTTCCTCGTTTTCGTTTTCGTTTTCGTGGTCTTCGCCACTGATTGCAGAAACTGTTGGAGATGTGGGCGGGCTACCTGGTCGCTTCGCTGCCCGATCCCGGCAACCAGCTCTGCACGGACGACTTTGAGGGCGTACGTGTCGTGAATCCCCGGTCAGCCGTGTGTGTGTGTGTGTGTGTGTGGACTTTTTTTTACTATTTTTTCTGACTGTATTCTGCTCCGGCATCAGCCTTCGCCTCACAACGCCAACCTGGCGGCCAAGGGCGTCGTCGGCTTGTCGGCCTATGCCAAGATCCTGGAGACTGCAGGCAACACCACGGTAATGGCCGACGGACCCGAGACTGTGACTCGACCCTGACCTCCTGTCATGCCGCGTGTCGTGGTGTCCGCAGGGCGCATTCTACTACCAACGGCTGGCCGAGAAGTTCATGTCGCAGTGGATGCAGCTTGCGGCCACCAACGCCACGGGCGTGCCGCACTACAAGCTCGAGTACGACATCGCCGAGAGCTGGTCCCTCAAGGTACACCTGTGCATCTCTGGTGATGAACTGAAGAGTGAGTCACTCTTCAACAAACTCATCGCTTTCCTATGCACACACACACACACACACACACACACACACACACACACACACACACACACACACACACACACACACACACACACACACACACACACACACACACACAACAGTACAACATCGCGTACCAGAAGTTCGTGGGGCTCGACATCTTCCCGCAGGCGGTCATCAATACCGAGCTCAACTACTACATGAAGCAGATGAACACCTACGGCGTGCCTCTCGACGTGCGAAGGTACTTCGCGTTCTACGTGTGTGCGTGTGTGCGTGTGTCATGTCTCACCGCATTCTGTGCGCTCAGCGATTTCACGAAGCTCGACTGGGAGTCGTGGGTGGGCGCCATGTCGGACAACAAGGACGACTGGACCACCATCATCGACAAGATCTACCTCTTCGCCGACACCACGCCCGATCGCATTCCCCTCACCGACTGGTACTGGACCTCGACCGGCCGCTTCCGCGGGTTCATCGCCCGGCCCGTCCTCGGCGCCGTCTACGCCAAGCTCCTGCTCCACCAGCAGCAGTAGCGCTATCAAAAATTAACGAAACAGTTTGGTGCCCTAAAAGTTGTTTCGTAAATTTATTTCGTCTGTTTCAAATTTACGGGGTAATCCACACCTGAAAAAGGTTCAACCCATATTCCTCCCATACAGCACAAGCGCACAACAGGACCAGACCATAAAAACCTCTTTGTTGTAACAACAATGGACACCACTCCAGCGACATCGACACCCCACGCACTGTTCGCTCGTGCGGCCCAGTTTCCTGACGCCCCCGCCTACCACACCAAAGTGGGCGACTCCTGGAAGGTGTGACTTTTTCTTCCCATTATTTTTTCTTTCTTGTTGTTGTTATTATTTTGCTTTATTTTTCTGTGTCCCAATTATCACGGTCGCGCAGTAGCTTTTTCTACTTTCTACTTTTATCTAGTGTGTTGTTCAACTACTTTAGTTGTTTTTATTTCCTTTTATCGTGCTGTCGTTTTACGGCCTAACCACGTGCCACCAACCTCAACCTCACGCCTGCGACCACACAGGGCTACACCTGGGCCGAGTTCGCGGGCCTGGTGCGGTCGGCCGCCAAGGGCCTGATCGCCCTGGGCTTCGAGCCGCTCGCCAAGACCTGCATTCTCTCCAACACCCGCCTCGTACTACTTGCTCCTCCCGCGTCTGTCTGACAGGAATCTCACACACGACACGACACGACACGACACGACACGACACGACACGACACGCACACGACACGACACGACACGACACGACACGACACGACACGCACACGACCGCACTCACGCCACACGTCGACGATAAATAGGAATGGGTGGCGGCTGATGTCGGCGCGATGGCGGCTGGCGGAGTGCCCAGCGGCATCTACCACACCTGCTCCGCCAAGGCACGTGATTCGTGCGCTTGCGGGTTGCACGCGCTCATTTGTAGTGAGTGTGCTCATCGTGTGTATGCTGGTGCAGGAGGTGTCGTACATCGTCAACCACAGCGAGTCGACCGTCATCTTCGTCGAGGATCGGTACACGCACACGGCACACATGACACACGACGACACACGGGCACACATGACGCACACGACGACACACACGACTGATATGGGGGAACGGCAGGGCTCAGTTCGCCAAGGTGGAGGCGGAGAAGGAGCACTTGCCCCTGCTCAAGCACGTTATCATCTTCAACGGCGAAACCGCGGGTACACGTGCGTGTCGTGTCGTGTCGTGTCGTGTCGTGTGTCGTGCGTGTCGAGCGTGTCGTGTGTGTCGTGTGCCGTTTGGGCTCGATCGAGCTAAGGGTGCGTAATGCATATGAGCAGAGAGTCCGCTGGCCATGTCGTGGGGGGATTTCCTGGGCAGGGGCGCCGGCGTGGCCGACGACGACGTGGAGAAGCGGCTCAACGCCCTTGAGCCCACCCAGTGCGCCAGCATGATCTACACCTCCGGGTACCATCGCACACGCACGCACACACGCGCTGTTGCTAATGACAACGACAGAACGACGGGGCCGCCCAAGGCGGTGATGCTGTCGCACAGCAACCTGTCGTGGACCGCCAGCACCGCAAGCCAGGTCTTCCAGGCGCAGGCGGGCGACTGCTGCGTGGCGTTCCTGCCGCTGTCGCACATCGCCGAGCAGATGTTCACCATCCACATTCCTCCCGTCTCGGGCCACCAGGTACTCTTCCTGTTCTGCATTCTTCGTTCTTCGCTTTTCGTTTTCGTTCTTTTCGTGTTCTTTGCTCACACAAGAATGTTAACGTCAGGTTTACTTCAACGAGAGCCTGGAGAAGCTGGTGCCCACCCTGAAGGAGATCCAGCCCACACTCCTCTTCTCCCCGCCCAGGTTGGCTTTGTGCTCGCGTTGCGTGTGTTGTGCGTGCGTGTGCGTGTGCGTGTGCGTGCGTTGTGCGTGCGTGTGCGCGTGTGTCGCGCGTCGTGTGCGCGGTGCTGACACTGAAATGACGGCGACGGTTTTAGGATCTATGAGAAGCTGAACTTGGCGCTGGCCTCCAAGTTACCGCCCGGTGCCAAGCCCGACCAGCTGCCCGTCGAGGTCAAGAAATCGCTCATCGAAGCCGTCGGCCTCAGCCGCGGTACGCAACACACACACACACACACACACACACACACACACACACACACACACACCAACGCACACGCACATATGCACACGACTGCACGCGCACGCGCTGGTAAGGGAGCGCGTTCTGATGTGTCGACTACACAGCTCGCTGGGCGGTGGTGGGCGCGGCGCCCATCTCGCCGGACGTGCTGCGCTTCTTCGCCGGCCTGGGCCTCACCATCTGGGAGGTCTACGGCCAGTCCGAGGACTCCGGACCCACCTCCTGCAACGTGCCCGGCAAGGTCAAACTCGGTACGCCCCTCGTGGTGTTTCGTGTGTGCGCGTGCGTGTGCGGTGTGTGCGGTGTGTGCGGTCGTTGACCATGCCGCAGGGTCGGCGGGTCCACCCTTCCCGGGAGTGGAGGTGGCGATCGCGGAGGACGGCGAGGTGCTCGTCCGGGGACCCAACGTCTTCCTCGGCTACTACAAGGTACTCACCCTCTACCGCCACCTTAAAGACTAACCACACACGTGTGCCGCCATCTTAAAACTTCACACGCACGCAGCCAAAGACGCTACTCACTACCCCCCACATACAGGACCAGGCGGCGACGGAGGCGACGCTCAAGGACGGGTGGCTGTACTCGGGCGATCTGGGCCGGATCGACGAGGAGGGCTTCCTGCACATCACCGGCCGCAAGAAGGACATCATCATCACCGCGGGCGGCAAGAACATCACCCCGGCGAACATCGAACACGCCATCAAAGCCCACCCCCTGGTACGTGTGTGCGGTGTGTGCGGTGCATGCGTGTGCGTGTGCGGTTGACCTTAAAAGTGGACTGTCGACAGATCGGTGAGGCGATCGTGATCGGAGACAGGCGGCCTTATCTCGTTGCGCTCGTCACCCTGGACGCCGACGTCGCTGCCGTCAAGGCCAAGGAAAAGGTTTTTCCTTTCTTCCTTTCAAACGACGAGCACCGCACGCACCGCACACACACGGCATGCAACGCGTGTGCTTAGACAAACCGTGTGCGCACGCACAGGGTGTGACGCCGGCCGAGTTCGCGGCGGATGCGGGAGTGCGCGCGCTGATTGAGGCCCACATCGAGACCGTCAACGCCGACCTGGCCCAGGTGGAGACCGTCAAGCGGTTCTCCGTCCTTCCGCACCCGTTTGCCCTCGAAAGGGGCGAAGGTGCGTGCTCAACCCCCCCACACAAACACTTCACACGACTGACCCTGTCACGGCACCACACACTCACACACACGCACAACACGACACACACATGATACACGGACAGTTACGCCCACAATGAAGCTGAAGCGCAACGTGATCCACAGCAACTACGCCGCGGAGATCGACGCCATCTATGCCCAGCCCTTCACTCGAGCTGACGCCTGAGCTCCACCACCTGCCGCGCTTTTTGCCGGAAAGAAGCATTGTTGACCATCCCATAAAGTAGGCTTGGTCCCATGCACTGATGGTTGAAAAGGAAAGATGTTGATCCTCATCACATGTTGTGGTTTCAAAGGAAGCATGCCACCAGGCATCCAAGTGCAGTGTGTTGGGTGTGTGGCAGAGCAGTGGAACCGTGTCAGAAAGGGTCGTATCAAAAAAAGATGGTCTGTACGTGTAGCGCTTTCCATGGTCGACAGGTCCCATTGGTTGCAGGGGGGCTTGGCTCCCTTCTCCTCAAGTTGGGCGACCACCATTGTTCAACTTGACCCTTGAGCCCCACCAACGTTACCACATCGTGATGTGCTACCAAAACGGCTCCTCTTGCTCCTGCTTGCTTCAATCTTTGCCCTCCACGCCTCAATAGTCTATGGTACCAAGACAAACCAAGGTACCCCCCTTCATCCACTGCATTGCATGACTCTTGTTCAGCAACAAGACGTTGACCTATTTGTTTGTTTGTGTTTATTTGTTTGATCAAGTCTGCTACAGAAACGCCACCATGGGGATCAACAAGGAGGTAGGGGCCTACTGTGTTGACAGTTATGACTGCGGTTCATACTGCTGTGAGGGTCCTGTCTGCTGCCAGACGGGTGAGACCTGTGCGTCGGACCAGAGCGGATGCATTCCCCCGGGCAACGACGACGATGATGGCCTGTCGACCACCAACATCGTCCTCATCGTCGTTGGTGCCTGCGCCGGCGTCGTCCTTGGTGCCGCCATTCTCTGGGTCGTGCGCAACCGCTACGGCAAGAGGCAACAGTACGACCGCGTTTGAACTTCCTGAACTCTTCGAGCCCCTCAAGAGCGGCCACTCTCCTACTTGTGTGCTTGCTTTCTTTTCAGCCCAATAAACCGAAAGGTTTTTGAGCGTCTGGCCAACAAGCCGGGAGTGAGTGGCTTGTTACAGAGAGTCGAGCGTAGCGGCTGCGCGGACCAGATCCTCAGCGGAGGCGCGCATCTCGGCTGCCCTCTTCTCCAATAGTGCCTTGGCCTCGTCGATCACCCGCTGCGCCACCCTGTGAGCCCCACCAACCACCACAGCCGACGCGTCAGCTTCACTGCAACCAGTTCTAGAAAAAAGCGTAGCGCAGAGACGTACTCGACCGAGAAATGCGAACCGAGGCCGGCCCGTGCTACCAAGTCCTCCGCTTGCGCTTGCGCGATGGCGCGCGGCGACTGGTACCCTGCGGGCGCGTCTCGGAGTTAAAACAAAGAACGAAAATGACGTAGGCAAGAGCGAAGGCGGGGGGGGGAGTGAGCGTACCGGCTTGGAAGAGGGCGCGGGCGTGGGGCTGTTTGAGAGAGGCGAGCTCCACGAGGGGAACGAGCTCTTCCTTCACCCCGTGGAACAGCCGCGGCACGTACTTGTCCATCAGCACCGCCAGCTCCCACCACCCCATCTGCTGACAGAACACCCGCGACATGTTCGCAAAGCTCGACGCTACCGACGTCGTCCCATCGTCAGCCACACACACACCGCACACGACACACACCACCGCACGCGCACACACGCGCACACGAACAACGACACGACACGACACGCACCTTTTTGCATGAGTTGTTGGATGGAGCCGCGGTTGACGCGGTAGCGGTCGGTGATGTCGCGCAGGGGCACCTCGCGCAGGACGTCGTGGAGGACGAGCGCGGTGAAGAACCGCTGACACACGAAGTGGCTCCGCCGGGCCTCGTCGGTGGTCGCCACCTTGCCCGTGGCCCGGGCCGACAGATAGGCCTCGCGCACCCCCACCGCGCTCCCGATCTCCTGCTTCACCGCCCCCAGCTTCTGGTACGTGTTGAACAAACTGTCGCACGTGCGCGTGCGGTCGTGCGTGTTAGCGCGTGCGTGTGCGGTCGTGCGTGCGTGTGCGGTCGTGAGAGCGTGTGCGGTCGTGAGAGCGTGTGCGGTACCCCATCCAGTCTGGTGGGTCAAGCAGGTTGCCGATGGGCGTGACGAGATAGCACAGGTGCAGCTCATCTGCAACGCGGTCCGACATCGCGCACGATGAGTTGTTGTTGTGATGTACGTGATTGGTTCGGCGTGGTCGGTGGTAGGTATCGTACCGGCTACGATGAGGCGCCTGCGCGCGTTCTCGAGTTCGTCCCGCAGCGCGAGCGCCACGAGCGGCGTCAGCCCCGAGCGCGAGGTGGCCTGCGCGAGCGGCGTAGGTTCGAGCACTTCGACCTC